TGAGAGAGTTTGAGACAAGTCGAGAGTTTGAGACAAGTCGAGAGAGTTTGAGAGAAAGTTTAGAGAGAGCTTGAGAGCTTGAAAAAAAGCTTGAAAAGTTTGAGATTCAGTCCGAGTGTGTGACCGTGATTTCACTATCGCAGAGCGAGGGGGTGGGGAAGGTAAAGCGAGCGAGCGAGGGGCAAGATGGCGGCGGTGGGATGGGCGGTGCTTTCCGGGTGTATGGCTGCGGGAGCGGCGCTGGCGGGGAAGGGTGCCTTTGATGCGGAGCTTGTGGAGCAGGCTGTGCGGCCATACGTTGGCGACGAGCAGCAGGTGGGGTAGCGCCGTGGCTGAGTGCGTCATTTCGTGTCTGTGCTCTGATTCGGATGGTGTCCGTGCTATTGACTGGGTCGGGGTGTAGCGCATGATGCTGGCTTGGCTCGGGCGCGGTCTAGCGTTGGCCATCTTTGCTTTGCTTAATGCGACCATGTGGGCATACTTTGCACGTGCTCTGGCCGCGGCGCAAACCTCGCTGCTTCCCACGACCATCAACTTTGTGACCAATTTTCTTGTGAGCGTACGTGAGCGGCTTGTGCCCGACCTGCCAACTGGCACCTTTCCTTTCGTCCCTTTCGAGCTTCCAATGCGCGCTCACCTACTCTGATCCTCCGTCCACCAGGCTTTACTGGGATGGGGACTCCTCAAGGATCAGCACAGCCTTACTTGGTATGCCGGTGCTGGCCTCACCTTACTCGGCGTCACCCTCATGATCGCGGGCGACCCTGCCCCAAGTAAAGCCAGCAAGGCAGAGTAAAGCCCCTTGTACCAACCAAACCCCCTCTCCTCTGCCTGGCCTTTTCTTCTGCTGGCTTCTGGATCCACGTAAATGATCGATCGAACGTAATTGACCTGCAATTTACACAGCTCTAGCTTCAGGCCGAAACCGCTTGGAGCAAGATAATTGATGAAGCACCTATTCAGGACGACCGACACCCGCGACTCTACGGGCGCAGCGGATTCAAAGCCAGACCCAAGACCTGGCCTGAGTAAGACGCAGCCAAGACGTCTAGATCGCCGTCACCATCCATGTCATCCACCAGTACGCAGCGCACACTGCTCGTGTTGTTGAGCAGCTCGATTGGATCTTCAAAAGTGCCCTGGCCCAAGTTGCGATACCAGACAACCCGGTTCTCAATATAAGCTCCCACCACCAGATCCATAGCCCCGTCCTTGTCCAAATCGCCAATCGCCAGCGCACGCGGCCCATACAGTGTGCCTGGCAGCTCGTGAGGCGCCCACAGGTCTCCGCTTGACACTTGAGCATACCACACCGTTAGATTGGCTGCAAAGCTGGCCACTGCTACATCGGGGCGCCCATCGTGGTTGATATCACTGACAGCCAGGGCGTGAATTCCTGTAGGTACAGCGTTGAAGGGTTGCGCGGTAAAATTGCCAGTGCCATCACCAAACAGGACCTCCGTGGCATCGTTTTCGCCGGGGAACAGCACATCCACGTGCCCATCCTGGTTCAGATCAACCACCGCCAAGACATAACTGGTGTCAAAGGCGTTGGAAATCACATGCGGCGTCTGTGAAATGGTGCCGTTGCCAGCGTTCCGGAACCAGGCCACATGGCCCACGCCACGAAAGCCACACACAACGTCGAGCCAGCCATCTTCATCCACGTCGGCAACTTGCACAGCATAGGACCCAAGCACATTTCTTACAATGGCCCGAGGTGAAAACGAGAGGGCGGGGTTGCCTCCTTCGTTGCGGTACCATGTGAGGCTGCCACCCTCCTCGCTGGTCGCCACCACATCCGGGCGCCCATCCTGATCGAAATCAGCGACCGCCAATTTTCTTGGGCCATGCGACAGGTCTCCAGCGATTGTCAAGGGGCCTTGAAAAGCACCCGCTCCCAGGCTGCGGTACCACACAATCGCCCGAGCCCAAAAGCTGACTACGACAATGTCCCGCCGTCCATCGCCATCCAGGTCCTCAAATCTAGCATCAAAAGCCGATGCCAGCGTGCCTCCTATGCTGCTGACGGTCCAGGCGCTGCTGTTTTGCACCCGTGCGCGTGCTTGTGGCGTGCGCGCCTCCAAATCACCCACTTGTGCGTCCAGACGCTCCAGCATGGCAAGCACATCGACATGCTGCACAAGCACGGTGCCCGCGGCCCCGCTCTGGATATGCAGATGGCCTGCATCATCCCGCAAGATCAATGGGTCGTCTGCACCCATTGCACCCAGCAACAATAGCCCCAGGGCACCCATGACTCCGATCAACCCCATGGTGCCATCCAGTCTGCACATCCTCGGGCCCCCCGTGAACCCAGACGGCAGCGTCGGCGTCGTCGTGTGTGTGTGTGTGTGTGTGTGTGTGTGTGTGTGTGTGTGTGTGTGTGTGTGTGTGTGTGTGTGTGTGTGTGTGTGTGTGTGTGTGTGTGTGTGTGTGTGTGTGTGTGTGTGTGTGTGTGTGTGTGTGTGTGTGTGTGTGTGTGTGTGTGTGTGTGTGT